GTGCATGCTTGTTTTGTTCAACTGACAGTCAAAAACCCAAATATATTAAAGAATTACAGAAAATATTTAACCCCTTCTGTCATTTTACTTAATCAAACTTGATCTGATTAATTAATTAGTTGATTAGACGATGTATTATTTGACATTATGGTTATATACTATTTTTACAAACAGGAAGTATAGTGATTTTCTTTGACTCTAGATCCTTACTGACAGCTGGACAGCATTTACAGCTACTTTAGAAAGACGAGCCCCAAGTGTGTGTCTCTGACCTCCAGTAGCTGCGTCTTGTCGTACTCTCTGCGGTGCTGGTAGATACACTGGCTGAGGAGGGAGTACAGTCTCTCCAGCTGCTCCACGCTGTAGCCCTCACTCTTCTTCACTGCCATATCCAGTAGAGCCTGAGGGGAATCACAGAAACACATTACAGAATGTATAAACATTTATTTACTTACAAAATGTAAAAGGCGTCCTATACATTGTGACTAATATCCACAAACATGCATGGAGGAACAATCATAACTCAAACTGACAGTGCTGGATAACTGTCCACACAAGCTAAGTGCTGATGTTGGTGCTGAAGCCTCTGGAGGTCAGCTGTATTCAAAAGCAATTAAGATCAGAGTGACAGCTAATTAAGGCTAATCATAATTCAAGCCAAGTTTACATTTCACTGCTACTGTAATTAAAACATTTTGGACAGTCAAAGGCCCTTTTAATTGACCTGCTTCTCCCATTTTACCAAATCCAAAGTCTGTGTGTGTGTCTATCGAGACACAGGGCTCATTAGAATACATTAACTGACACAAGTAAAGGCACAATAATTAAAGTTACCATCACTGACACAGCAAAGAGAGAAACCGCAACAGAAATAAAATGGCATGTGTGTGAGAAACAGAGAGACCACGTGTTAATCACAAAAAAACCAAGGCAATGCCAAGATTAATAAGATGTAGATGTTTGTCAAAGCCTCTGAAACAAACAGTCGAGTGACAATAAGATCGAGAAAAATCAGAGGTGGCAAAAGGTTACCATTGTAATAACTGCTGTACTCCATCTGACAGGGAATTCTGTTTAAATGACAGAGCAGGTGACTTGATTAAAGAAAAAGACTCCAGACCTTATGAGCAATACTTCACTTTGACAGAGAGCTCTTTCTTTTCCGCGCAAATACCTCAAACAATAAAAGTTCTTGAAATGTGGCAGTGGAAGCATTAGGTCATCGAGTTCACAGAGTCATGTTGATGTGTTCAGTCTATTAGCTTTATACTTGGCTGCCGAATTGTTATTAAGCAGCAGAGATCAAGACCTAGAGAGCCTCCTAGGACATCCATCAGGACAAACTTCGTCTCCGAGAACATTTATTGTATTAGATTTTTTTTCTTTGCATAACAGAAAGCCATTACAACCCTATAAAACTAACTCTGCCCCACACTAAGAAAACGATTAGACACTCGGTAGCCACTTATTTCCTGAGGCAATAAACACATTTTACTGCCCTGTTCTTTGAACTTATTTCATCTTGTTTCTGATGCCATTATCTGTATGAATGTTTTAAGGTTTTGTGCTTCATTAAGAAAGAAGAAACCATTGCAAATGTCTTTCGTATTCTGTCACTGAAAACGAGTCTTGTGTCCCACACACTTGAGGCTTGACTTCCAATAAGTGCTTATACTTAAAAATCAATAGTCTTGAAACTTGACTTTGAGTATCTATCCATATATAATACCTTTCAAATCTTCACACTTCCATAACTTAATCTGACAGTGTAGAAGGGTTCAGTTGTAATAAGCCTTCCACATAAAAACCTCCATCTGGCCAATCTAATAACTCTCGGTCCCTTGACAAATAAAAGGTGCATACAGAAGCTAAGAACACTAAGACTCTCTAATATCAGAACTCATGCAAAGTGATAATGATCGTCACGGCTGCCTTCAAAAGTGCTGTCAGCTGCTTTATACTGAGCAGGGCTCCAGACTAACATTTCATACTGGTGGCACTGGTGCCACCAAGTCTCTTGGATGGTTCGCAAATTATTTTAAGTAACCTTACATCCAAAGTGCATAGTCTGTATTTATATTTGCTGCTGTCAGTGTTGGACTTCATGCACCGTTCAGCTCTCTCACTCGTCCGACTAAGTGCCAGCTCACTTCTGGGCTAAAGTTACTAGTAGCCTACCAATTAAAGAAGTATGTATGGCGGGTTTCGGCCACTACCAACTTCAAACAGGGGACTTCACTAGACGTGAGCAGTGCATATGTTGACCCACACTGACTCCGACCTCCGTGCAGCGTCTCTCGTCAGAACAGCTGTCTGTCAGCAGGAGGACAGCACCAGGCTTCTTCAGCAGGCTGACTGAC